CATCATTCTGAAAGTATGTCATTCTTCTCTTAATGACCATTTATGTGAAGTTTCAATTTGAATTTGGTTAATGATATTTTATATAATTGAGAGAATTCATGATACAAATTTGAATTTGTTGTTTAGATAAGAAACTTCCTTGTACCATTTCAGTTTGATATGTGGCTTATGAGTTTTGGGTATTTAGTTAAAACCATTCAAATGCTTCGATTAATTTTCTTGTGAAATACTATAGCACTTTTGGTGGGGAGGATTATGTTGTTGGAAAAGTAAAGTAAAAAGTAAAAACTATTCAATGCAACTGGATGTCATTTGTAATTTTTTAAAAATTTGGGGATGTGGTTGCAATTAATTATTTGTTATTTCCTTTCTTTTCCTTTTGTTTTATTTGAATGGAGGGTAAAACTATCCAAAATTGGTGAAAATGACGTTCAGCGCTAAGAAAAATGGAAATAGGGGCAAAATTGTCAAAAAATAAAAGGTATGGACATTTTCCACAATAGACATGAAAGGTATAAACATTTTGTGTCAATTATCCTAACACAAATCCATTAGATTGTTTCAACTACACTAGGGAAAACACAATGCTCTTCAACTTCTGGTCCTAAAGTTGCCATAATTGGAGTAAATATTAAACTTAGAAATTGTACTAAAATAATTTTTTTTCCTAATTTCAGTGGCGGATTATAGCGATGGTAGCTCTTATTAGTGTTTATATGAAAGATCTAGTCCTAATCACGCCAAAACGAAGTCCTAAAATGGATTTTGGAATAAAGGGTTAAAGAACGTGCTAAATCTATAATCGAAAATCTTTGGGATGGTTTTGTGATTTTGATCAATCCAGAATCATGCTGGAATCAATATTAAGATATTATGAAAGAACCAAGATTGCGTATTTTTTTTCATGACGGGAAAACTCGCAGCTGCTACCTTTCGGATGTAAACTGGGTAAATCTTCGGGCTGACACAATAGCTTGCAAATCAAGCTAATCAAATAAACTGCACTAGGCAAGCTTTGTGCGACAGGCTCAATTGAGAAGGTATTGATAGGGAGAATCGAACTCGTGACCAAAGGCTTTCGTGTTCATCTACTCCACAGACTCGACCTAATACTAAAGATTTCGGATTTTTGAATGACCACTATAAAGGAAGAGAAGGAGAAGCTCACACATATACATACGGAAAGGGTTATGTTGTAGGGTTACATTTAGACATAGAATAGGGAAATGGCATATTTGCCGAGTAAAATCAGTTATTAATTAATTCCTTCAAGAGATGGGTAATACTTCACATCTCATTTTTACTTCATCATTACAGTAAATGCGGAATATTCGTATGTTAAAAAGTAATTTTTAAATATGTATTAAATAATAGGTAGATGGTGCAATTTGCTCTAAAATTAACAACTCAATCCAACTTGAACAATCAAGCCTGGCGACGGTTTATATACAGATGGTATTGAGAAGGGCACCGGAGTTTAATAAATGACGAAATCTATAGTGGTGTTAAAAATAGAATAATGCTCGTGTGCCAGAAAGTGTGTGACAGAGAAATAACAAAATATGTGTTGGCATGATGTGATTTGCTGCAAAAGTTAATTGTATTTTGAAAAGTCCAATGATATATTGTCATGTAGCATTATATTAAAAATTATGTTAACCATAAGTTTGTGTAGAATAATTGTTAAATATATAGGTTTACTTTAGTATCATTATCCCAAAGAAAAAAAAAATCATATTTCAGGTGTATTGTTTACACCAATTCAAAAGTGAGGTAAATAGTTTAAAAGTTCATAATTCAGGTGTATATATATAATTAATTAAAAATATTTATTAAAGAAAGATAATAAAGTTACAGTTACACAATTGATGATCACGGATTTATAATTATAAATCACAGATTTATTTACTGATCACATAACATCAAATTAATTTGTTACAAATCAAAAATTTTATAGGTCACAGTTTATTTCATTAGTTACAGATGAAAAAATTATAGGTCACGGTTGATATATCAATCATATATTTTCAAATTTGTTGGTCACAAATTATCGAATTTTAAGGTCACAATTAAATAGTTGGTCATGGATAATGAAACAATTGGTCACAGGTCAAATAGTTGGTCATCACCAACTCCACTGTCAACATCGTCACTTGCAACCAACCTCACCCTGTACCACCGCCACCACCACAACAGCACCATTACCAACACCACAATATCATCACCAAAAAAATCGTCGCCACCAGAAACAACCACTACCAAAAACACAAAAAAAAAAAACCACCATTGTCGCTTGAACCACACTATCATCACATCCATTGCCTGTACTGCACTGCACCATACCATAGCCACGGCCTGCACTGCACCACACCGCAAACGGCACCATACAAACCACCCCAACCACTAAATCCACCATACGATGTTGTTTTCGCTTTGTATGCTAGTTGCAGTGATTCGCCTGTGAAGAGTCGTTGGAGTTGATGGATTTGTTTCTTGTTGGCAACTCGCGATGATTTGCACAAACCCACTGCGCTGCGTGGTAAAGATCACCGTGATGCTGCTTACGTAGTAGTGACGGCACGGTGTCATCAATTAAAGTGAAATGGGTAAGGTCTCCGAAGACGACGTAACAGAGGGAAAGGAAGAGACGGGGAAGATAGAGAGTCAGAGAGAGAGAATAACATTAGGGTTGGAATTGAATTAGGGGTAATATTTATTATATTCATACCTGATTTTTGAATAATGAAACTTGTTCATTTATTTTTGAATTCTAATATTTAAACATCTGGAATTATGTAATTTCTACTTGGAAAAAAATCATACTTAGGTGTATGGTTTACACCAATTCAAAAGTGAGGTAAATAGTTTAATAGTTCAAAATTCAGATGTATATATATAATTAATTAAAAATATTTATTAAATAAAGATAATAAAGTTATAGTCACACGATTGATGATTACAGATTCATAATTATAAATCACAGATTTATTTACTGGTCACATATTATCAAATTAATTGATTATAAATCAAAAATTTTTGTAGGTCACAATTTATTTTATTAGTCACAGATGAGAAAATCATAGGTCACAGATTACATATCGATCACATATTTTCAAATTTGTTGGTCACAAATTATCGAATTTTAAGCCACAATTAAATAATTGGTCACGGATAATGAAACAATTGGTCACAAGTCAAATAATCGATCATCACCAACTACACTGCCACTATTGCCACTTGCAACCAACCTCATCCTGTCATCATCGCCACCACAACAGCACCACTACCAACACCAACACCAACACCACAACATCACCACTAAAAAAATCGCCGCCACCAGATCTACCTCCACTGCCACCAGAAACTAGCGCCACCAAAAACACAAAAAAAAAAAACCACCACCATTGTTGCTTGAACCACACCATCATCGCAGCCATTGCCTGCACTACACCATACCAAACCACAGCTACCTCCTGCATCGCACCACACCATGAAAACACCACCACACAAACACCATCACTCAAACTAAAACCATCGTAACCGCCAAATCCACCATACATTGCTGCTTCCGCTTCGCGCTAGTTGTGATACTTTGCCTGTGAAGAGTCATCAGAGTAAGTGTTTGCTTCATAGTGGCAACTCACGGTGATTTGCACAAACCCACCGTGCTGCGTGGTAAATATCGTCACTGTGCTGCTTACGTGGTGGCGACAACGGCGGTATAGCTGAGGGAAAGGAAGAGACGTGGAAGATGGAGAGTGAGCGAAAGAGAGTAAAATTACGGTTGGAATTGAATTAAGGGGTAATATTTATTATATTCATATCTAATTTTTGAATAATGAAACTTTTCCCTTATTTTGAATTTTAAATTTTAAACGCCTGTAATTTTCAGAGTAAATTTAACCAATAATCACTGAACTTTACACTTGATTACTACTTGCTCACTCATCTTTCACATATTACTGAATGCTCACTCATCTTTTCATATAATTACTCATTCACCACTCGTCTCTTCAAATAATTGGACGACTTTTACGGTAAATTTTCGACAACTTTCGATCACAAAGAATGTCAAATTTTGATACCGTTGGAAAGCCCACGATGTCCTCTTCAATTACCACCCAAAATCTCATTATAACTCCAAGGGATTCGATCGAAAAATTGCCTTAAAAGTCGCCCAAAAATTCTGAAAATCTGCCCAGATTTTCAGATTTTTTGGGCGACTTTTAAGACAATTTTTCGGCAACTTTCGACCATCAAAACTATCTAATTTTGATACCATTGGAAAGCCCACAATGTCCTCTTCAATTACCACCCAAAATTTCCCGATAACTCCAAAGGATTTGATCGGAATAAATCTACAAAGTCAGCATCCCGAACTTTGTCCAAATTTTCGCCTTTTCAAGATGATGATTTTGTGGGTTTATTCCGATCGAATCCTTTGGAGTTATGGGGAAATTTTGGATAGTAATTGAAGAGGACATTGTGGGCTTTTCAATGGTATCAAAATTCGATAGTTTTGATGGTCGAAAGTTGCCGAAAAATTGCCTTAAAAGTGGCCCAAAAAATCTGAAAATCTGGGCAGATTTTCAAAATTTTTGGGCAACTTTTAAGGCAATTTTTCGATCGAATCCCTTGGAGTTATAATGAGATTTTGGATGGTAATTGAAGAGAACATCGTAGGCTTTTCAACGGTATCAAAATTCGACATTCTTTGTGGTCGGAAGTTGTCGAAAATTTGCAGTAAAAGTCGCCCAATTATTTGAAGAGATGAGTGGTGAATGAGTAATTATATGAAAAGATGAGTGAGCATTCAGTAATATGTGAAAGATGAGTGAGCAAGTAGTAATCAAGTGTAAAGTTCAATGATTATTGGTTAAATTTACTCGGAATTTCCACTTATCCAGAATAACAATAAATGGACGGCCCAAATACAAAATGGCCAGCCCAAATTTTTCCTAGCCCAAGGCAAGAAAGAGAAAATGATAAAAAACCCTAAAATCTTTTCTCGTGGTCTTGAAGTGAAAAGTTGAAATGTTTTTGTAAAATAGAAAGTGAGGAGTTAAGATTAAGCAATGGCGTCTGTGAATGTTAAGCATAATATTGTTTCTGCTCTCTGTAAACACCTCTCTTTGGATCCCGTAAGCTTCCTGCTCATTTATTTATTTATTTATTTTTCCTTTTTTACTAGTATTTGGCTAACTAATTAAAGTCTTTGGAAATGGAATTTTAAAGTTTTTAAAATCTTTCTAATTTGGGTTTGTCTGTAAAAAATTATTGTTTTTGAAAATGAGATTCAATTTAATTTCCTAGTTTTTATTTTATTTTATTTTTTATTTTATCATTTTCCCCCCCCCCCCCCCCCCCCCCCCCCCCCCCCCCCCCCCCCCCCCCCCCCCCCCCCCCCCCCCCCCCCCCCCCCCAAATGTAATTAGTGTTTTGGAAATGGCATTAAAACTTGGTGATATGTTAATTCAATTGCCATTGATACATGCAGAAATCATTTTCAAGTGATTTGGACAATGATTTGAAAAGCCTGTGCATAAGCATTTTGAAGTCATCAAAAGATGCGGCTGAGCTTGTAAATGATAATGAGGTAATAACATGTGTTTGCTTTACTTTGTCTGTTTACGTGCTTATGTTGAGTTAAGATGGAAAAGTACGGATTTTGATGTAAAAAACTGAAAAAATTTGGCGGCAGTTGATAAAATGGATAGGATTTGTTGAGAAGTTTCTTGTGAAATCTGAGGCGCCCTTTAAGGCTCTTACTGAGTTGAATGAAGAGTTGATTACAAAGTCTGTTGTTCTGGGCAATGGATTGAAACCGTCCGCTGCTGATGTTATTGTCTTCTCAGTAATACATTCAAATGTGGTATGTATTTCTTATTAAATGTTCAACTATCTTGTAAATTAGTTATTTGGAATGAAACAGTTGATGCCATGAGCTTTACTCAGCATTCTACTGGTCAATATGTGCCTATGCATCGATTTGCACCTTCACCCACAAGAACAGATGTTTGAGTAGAATAAGGATTATAGGCAAGAGTGAGAGAGTGTTGTTTTAGATATATTTTTCTCTCAAGTGCTTGTTAACTATTCTCGAGTTTTTCATGATTGACAGATTAGTCTTTCAAGTTCAGATAGAGCAAAGTTGCCACATTTGTTGAGATGGATGGATTACATACAGGTGAGAAAAAAGTTAGTTTGTTCAAAGTTAGTGCTGCTTTAACTCTTAGCAAATGGAGGTTATCTTTTGAGACACCAATAAGAGATAATTTACTCACAGGTCCTTTTCTGGTGCAGAACAAGGAGGAATTTGCAAAACTATTTGAAACAGTTTCGATTGAGAAGACCCAATTTATTCCTCGGGTAGGATATGCTTGTAGTTTGCTGGCAGCTTGTATGCTTTGCTGTTTGTTTTGTGATTTATAATATCTAATAATATGACTACTTTTTCGGCTACTGCTTATATGAAGAGACACAACATGCAATAGAGGCTATGATGTAGCAAACTCGAATTCATGACTAAATGTTATATTGGTATGGATTTCAAGACCACATTTATTAGAGTCAGTATAGACAAAGTTGTTAGCCACTTTATCCTGTTAGAATGAATTGGAGGCAGAGATTTTATGAGGTTTTACAAATGATAGTTATGCTGATCATGTTTCTTTTTAGTTCCATCTCCAACTTGATTAACTGCCCTGAGAACAAGCCCGAGCTGGAACTTTAATATAATTGTTTGTTGATAATTTCATTCCAGGCTTTAAAAACTGTAAAGAAGGTTGAAGACTCCAATGCAAAGAAAACTGTCCCAGAGACAAAAGATTCTAGTAGTTCAGAAAAGGTGGACTTAAAAGAAAAGAAACCTGCTGATTCGGTAACTCCTTAACCTATATATTTTTTAGGATATTAAATTTTGTATCTCTGATAGTTTAAAACCGGACTTGAGCTTATGGTGAAGTGGTGACATGGTGCACAAGTCGGTTTGGATTTGCTCAATGGATCTGTTTGCAAATGACAAGAACCAGTTAAACTGTTAAACCCTCCTGATTTTAATTAAAAACTGCCAAGAGAAATTGAAAAGCATTCTGCCTTCCAAAAGATTTAAACCTGCAACCTTGCAAGTAGAAAGCAGCAGCTCAAACCGGTTAGCTGCTCACCGTCTTTACCAATATGCATATTATTTTATACATGATATGTGCTGATTTCTTTTTGGGCAGCACAGTAAGTATTGTAAAGTCCAAAAGAACTGGGAAAGAAACAATTTAATTTCACATTAGTTCCTATAGCTCCTTTCTTCTACAAATACCTTCTGTCTGTCTATTTAGGCTATGTTATGCACAAGGATATTACCAACAAGCTATTCTCTGCTTTACCCAAAAGGTTCTGAAGTGTGATCTTCACCTCTAGTTCTTATATATGGAGCATTTGAATCTCTAGAATCTACTAATTTTTTTTTTTTCTATTTTAAACTGTTAAGGTGGGAGAAGTAAGAGTCAGAGTTAGATTTTAAAATAACTATTATTTTGCGCGCGCGCGCGCACACAACCACACATATATATTTAGTATTTTATGAAAAAAGAAAGTGAGTAACTTTGTTTGTACATTACAATGCCCTAAGAATATGAAATTTTGTCACTTGCTGTAATCCAGCTTAGGCAAATTCTGTTTCTATTTGTTATTTTTTTCTTTATTTCTGAAAAAAATTATGTCTTCCACTGTAGTTAACAGCTGTCAATGATCGCATATTGTGATTATCCACTTCTTTGTGGATGGATGGTTACATGTGTGACATATCATAAATTGTAGATGAGATTCATGAGTCCCACTAAAGCTTTGACTTAATAATGTCATCTTGGCCAAAAATTATTGTGCATTAACTGTGCTGTTTTGATCCGCCAAATAACAGAAGAAAAAATCTGAAGAAGTTAGTCAAGCTGCCGTAGACAAGAAAAAATTACCTGAAAAAGAGGTAGACAAGAAAGAAGAAGAACTTAGCGTTAGTCTGCTCAAAATACAGATTGGTTTGATACGTAAAGCATGGAAACATCCATCAGCTGACAGGTAAAAATGCTATTATACTTCTTTCTTTTGACTATAAAAGAACTGTATTATGTTAATACAGAGAAGGTATTAAAAAAGAAAAAAAAAAGAAGAAAAAGAAGAAGAAGAGAAAATTGTTTAGAAACCATTGGGCATCATTAAGTATTAATCTTTGGGAGAGAGCATCTGATGTAGGGATGTTGTTGTTACTAGTCCGTCTGTAGTCATAATCAGGGGTTATGATTGATTTTGACTTGAGCAACTGTCTACCTTGAGATATGGTTTCAAACTGTCAGAATCTCTTCAATATATTAGCTGTCAGATTGAGTTGTTCGTTTATGTATGTTCAGCAGTCCAAAAAGTGTGCTTGTGATCCTCAATTCAAAGTTCATTTTATTTTCATTTATAATGTCTGTATAAACCTTTTTCTCTTCTTTTGTAGTTTGCTCTTATTAACAAGATTCTGTTCTTTTCGATTGCACTTCTCATTTTCACTGGGTATCTTTGCTGCTGCTCGTTTCACAAAATATCAATGATATAATTCAACTGCAAATGGTTGTTTATATTGCGAGAATCACTACACATACTGGCCCAAGATTTCAATTGATCTCTGCATTTCTCAAAATGTGATGCAGTTTGTTGGTTGAGGAAATAGATATCGGAGAAGCAAAATGTAGACAAGTGGTCAGTGGCCTAGCAAAATATTGTACTCCTGACCAGCTAACGGTATGAATGCAATGTAATATTAATACAAGAATTGTCCTGGTTCCCGTTTTAATTTTTTTGAACTCTTGGATGGAGCCTGATTAATATTATCCTTTTTTCCCCTTTATTTGCTACATGTATCTTACAGAATCGCCGTGTGGTACTTATAACAAATGTGAAACCTGGAAAATTACGAGATGTGATGTCAGAAGGACTGGTATGCTTCCCCCACCTTCTTTGTACCGTTAACATTCTAATTCCTTTATTTTCTTGCACAACTGATAGTCAGCATTGTGTATGCCATGTGGCATAAATAGGCAAAATTTGCCTCTCAGAAACCTGTCTGTTATTCTTCCTATGCAAATTACAATGAATCTATACAAGAACACACCTTAATTATTTATTTATTACTACTTACTCACTAGTCCAAATATGAAAGTGTGTTCATTTTTTGGTCTAATTGAATTACTTTAGGGTACAACTCCACAAAATTTTTACAACTTGAGACATTGAGATTGATACTGGTACATAATTACTTTTTTATCTTTGGTTCTTGATTTACAATTATGCAGGTAAAACCTATTGCTGCTCTAAAGTTATATGGAGAAAAGTTGACAGGAGCGACCCTAGTTTATATATGTTTCTAGTGAACACTGCCCTTAAGTTTTTCAAGTGCTCCTCCACACAACAATTAATTTAATATAAAAATGTCATAAAAATGATATCTACAATTCCTCAAACACTTACTGAAAACCTCATTCATTAGGGCCTGAAAGGTAGAGGGTGCATTATATTCTATTATAGTATTAAGGCAGAAAGGCATTACAATTCATAATGCCCCAAGTGAGTCTTGAAAATTCTTTTAAATATTTTTAAACATCCCAATCCGATGATAACAATTTATCTTGTAGAATAGAACACACTCGCCCCGCTTAACTCATCCACCAATTCTTCAATACTAGTCATAAGGTTCATTATTAAAGAACCTTTAATAGCCAGTTTTTTATCCATGTAGTCAACACAAAATGTCCACGTGCCTTATTTTTTCTTCGTCTGTAGCATGGAAGTGGTTTGCTTGCTATTTGATAACCCTACTTGGCAGTGACTCAATCAGTGAGAGCTCTTTATCTCAAAATGAAGCAACTCAAGTTTCACCATAGGCCTATTCTTCTTTAGTACGAGTCAACTACTGCTTTTTCTAGCCGGGAAAAGGGCACTGTGAATATATGGCCAAAGGAAAGAAGATGTCACCCTTCTAATACCATTCTTATCTGTCCTATCTTGATCTAACCTTTAGTTTTACATTTAAATCCAAGAGCATTGATCCCCCACAATAACCATTAGTGAGAATGTGTAACAAACATGTAGTAGTGATTGCAAGTATTGCTTATGAGATCAGATAAATATTATTATAAATAGACTTTTGAGTGTGAGTGTGAATGTGAACGTGTGATCGCTGCATGTTATGTCTCCTTTGTTGGAGCCAAAAGATTTTGGACATTTATATTTATCTTTTTTTGTTGGATGTTTTCTTTGTTTCTAACAACTTTTTCTGTTTCCCTTAATTTGCAGGTTTTATGTGCCTCTAATCAAGATCACACCGTTGTTGAGCCTCTAATTGCTCCAGAAGGGGCTAAAATTGGGGAATGTGTTACATTTTCTGGGTAATTCATAATAAATCTATTTAGGCCATTACCTGGGATGTGTAACTTTTATATATATATATATATATATATATAAAATAGTTTCTTTGTGCTGTTACATTTCTTGAGCTAATTGAAAGAAACAAATACTCAAGTAAGGTTACATGTTCAATCATGTACATACTTCTGAAAATGAATACTATGTACAATGCATAGCTTGAGGACTAGTTAATAATTTATGAAGGGTAGAAGATGTACAATTTTCTTTATTTCTTTAGGTTAATTTAATGACTTGCAATATTTTTATGGACTTGTTTTTGTTGTTATTTTTTCAGCCTATCTTTTTAGTCAGTAGGAATCTGGGACCTATTCGATCTATTAATTTTGTAGAACATAATATATCATGTTATCTCTTTTCATTTGATAATTTGTGTTGTCTTTTCTTAAAGACAAGTGCAGTATTATGCAAATGATGAATTTGTCAACCTTATAATTGGTAATGGGCAATAGGGAAAGATGATCTGTGGGTTCTGAGCATCCAACTTGCATGGACCTTTGAGTCTTATAAAAGTACCACTTACTATTTGACATTGAATTTCTAGCTTTATTGTTGATTTGGATAAAATCCTATTTTGTGGCACTCCATTTCTGATGTACACACTACTTGATTTGATTTTTCCAGACATGACGGAAAGCCAGAAGATGTTCTTAATCCCAAAAAGAAACAATTGGATAAGATAACTCCGGTATGGACTTCCTGCTTTTGATTCTTTACATTACGTGCTTGACGACAATAGTTTGTAAATCAGTTAATACTATGTAATTCATTCCAAGGCCCATAGATATGTTGTTCCCCGTTGTCACATCACACATGGGTTCATGGTCATTAATATGTTTTGAATGGTAAATGTCTCAACAACTTAGCTGTACTTTCAAAGATTGAGAAGTTTTGTCGTAAGAATAGCCTTGTCCTTGGATCATTAATGTTTTCTGAATGGTAAATGTCATTTCTGTTGGCTAATTACTACTATAGTCATCGATAGTTTATCTGTAGAATTTCAAAGATTGAAAAGTTCTGTCATAAGACGGGCCTTTTTGCCCCATCCTTGGATCGTTATTAGGTTCTGAATGGTAAATGCAAAATACAAATTGACACAAGCCTTTCAAAGATTGATAGTCTTGGTCATAAGAAGAGCCTTATTTATTTGCTCTTTGGATTTAGCCCTTTTTGAGCCACATTATTTTGGAAAAATTGTATTTTTGAATAGTGTAATGATGGGAAATGTGAAAAGTTTTGGATTTGTGTATAATATTATTTTATTGAAAAATGTGATTGAAATGATGTCAAATCACTGTTTAAAAATGTATTTTTTCCAAATAATATGGATCAAACAGGCCTTTAATATGTTTTGAATGGTAATTGTCATGTGCACTGGCTAATTACTGTTCGAGTCCTACTAGGATTTTGAAATCTGTCGTAAGAAGATTCTTCTTGCCTTGTTCCTGCCTACTTTGCTATAGTTGTTTGTTGTCATTGTAATTATAGTACTTCTATAGGGAGGATTTCATATTAATCATGCACTTCATGTCTTCATTCAATGTTCCTGTTGTTGCAGCATCTTTCCACTGATGGCACTGGAATTGCGACATTCAAAGGTATCCCGTTCATGACTTCATCTGGACCATGCACTTCGACCATTCCCAATGCAAGCATCAAGTGATCAAAGCGATGATTTTATTGAAGTCTTACTCAGACTAGCATGCACTATATTAAGTTTCTGTGAGATTATGAGACATTCACAGCAGTTCCATCGTCTACCTCGGCTCTGCATGAACTCCATATTTACCTCACAGAAATTGTACAAACAAAATCCTGTTTTCTGATCAATCTAAGTCCCCCAATCTTCATAGCAGTGTATGGTTTTTGAATGTTGATGGTTTGGTCGATCAAGTTTATGAGCTATCATTGTTCTTGAAATTGTAGATTGACATGACAACACACAAATACTTTCACATTTTTCTTTCTTAATCACATTTAATTCAGTGTGCTACAGATGACATACTTGTCGAACATAAGAGGGATGGACATGAATTTTGAGTACAGTAAATTAATTAGCAGAATCAGTCAAAGTCTCAAATAAACAAAAAGAGAGATTTGTTTCCAAGGTTCTCTTTCTTGTTCTTATCTATATATCATACGTAATACAGGAGCTCTAAGTTTGCAACAATTATTATGTCGACATACTAAACAAGAAAAATGGGGTGCTACATGATTGGATATAAAAGTAAAGATCATGATCATCATGGATCATGGAAGAATCATACATGCTATGTGAATGTCAAGATCCAATATCCAAGTTTAAAATTAACTCGAAATTAATTTCAAGGAAATTTTTATTTTTGAACAGGTTTCAATATGTTATATTTGTCTTTTAAGTTCAAAAGCTTGTTATTTTGATAAAAATAGTGAGGTGGATATAGGGATCTCATGGGACAGCGGTTTTTATTATTTCAATAAAACATCCAACAACTCTGCAACCATTTTTTTTTAAATAAATCACCAAAGAACTCTCCCAATCATAGACTTTTTAATATTCACAAAAAAAATGATCCGAACAGTCGACCTGCCACATAAATTTCACACTTTTTACCACTCGAACATCTTATCTAATTTAATTGTTTCTTTAAAGATATATATTTAATATACATCTAACATTATGGTATAGTAAAAGAGGGACAATTGGCTCTCCAGGGCACATCCAAGTTGGTGGAAGAATCACTATGACGGGCTTGCAACCTCATCGTGGAGAGTTCAATTCCTGATCAACGCAATGAGGAGGATTCTCTTGAAGTCAAGAGTATAAACCAAGTGGGAATCTGGGAGCCAACAAGAGCATAACCTGTGATTTACCTCCTCGAGTCACTGAGGGGCTGGTGGTTAGAGGTCTAGGATTTAGTCTGGTGAAACTGGGATACCTGGATATCAAAAAAAAAAATAAAAAAAAAATGGGGGACAATTGTATGAAAAAGCAAGTCTTCACAATTATCAGTCCAAGTTCTCCATATTTTGTGTGAATCTAAGACTTTTTATGCCAATTTCTTGGAGTGAATCAAAATAAAGTAGTTCGTGAATTTCTTATATGACAACTTATCATACATACATACCCGTGGCACATTATACATAAATAAACTTATATGCTCTTTAAAAAGCATATTCTTTAGAAGTTTTGGGGTGGCATGCAACTTCTGAATTAAAATGTGTCCTTCTAACACAATATATGCTCTTAAGTCATGTTTGGTTATAACAATCAATTTTTGAGCTCAGCATTTACATCAACATATTTGCATGAGATCAAATGTTGTTTTCTTATGTAAATTGCAATTTTCTGCACCAAACTTGGAGAATCAAAAGATTAAAGAGTCTTCTATTTTATTTAAAAAATTTCTTTTTTCTTCTTTTTCTTATTATTATTTTTCCGTCTTGTGTCCATGGATCATTGTATTGACTACGAGTTAACTCCTCCTCAATAAACTTGTAAAGATGTATAGGAATGGTTAGTCGACTAACCATGACTATGGACACATTTGATGCCAAGTTATTTGATCTAGACATTATTAGCTTGCAACTTATATATGTCGTGTAATTAAGAGGCAAGACACTTTGTTTGAATTTTAAATATCCCTTTATTGATGGACAAAACTAAAAAATATTGATTTTTCATTTTATTTATTTTGATTTGCAAGAATTTTTGAATTTAACCACATTAAAACTTTTTATCCTTGAGATCAAGATCTAAACTTAAGTGGTAAGAGCGAAACCTAATTGAATTAGTGACTTAAGTTCGAGTTTCATCAATATTAACTCCTGTCAATATGTTTTCCTTCTTTAATCATGTTTAATTTGATTGAATTTTAACCCTCGTTTAAAAGTGATTATTTGAAATATCACTTTTTCGTCACTTATTTTTAATCATATATTCTTAAAAAAAATCAATTTTCATATTTTCCTAGTTTTTAACAAAATGCCTAAAAAAATAACTTTCACAAGCACATAATGTTTGGATGAGAACTTTTTCTTGCCAAATTACCGCGAAATGCTCACATATTTTTTCAGATCAAGATGGTTTCATATTAACAAAAAGGGTCCATTTGATTGCAACAATAAAATTTGGGTGAAAAGAAAACGAATTTTAGGAAATTGAATTTGCTAGAATTTGTTTTATTGAAAATTGTCAATTAAATGTATTTGATTGATATAATTTTTCACCTAAAAAAGGTTGGCATTTTGGTGTTTATTTGGCTTTGCTTTTCATTAATATTGTTAATTAAATGAATAAAATTTGTTTCCATTGCTGAAATTAAAAAAAAAAAAAGGCTAGAAAACTCAATTTCCACCAAAACGAAAGGAAAATCAATTCCTTAAAAACCTCAAAAATGCGGTCGTGGGGGGTTGGGTGGAAAACGAATTTCATGAAAAATTTTGCCCATCAAACATACTATTTGGGTAAAAAAAGGAAATTTTCATTTTTCATGGAAAATGGGGCCCTAAATAATAAAGAAAAAAGGAGAAGAGAAATTCGAGATATATACGACGTCGTGTAGAGTGAAGTTGTCCAAGACCAAGAGCAAGGGAAAGTCTCAAAAAGTAGCGCCACATACACGTGGAAGCCAAATACTGGATTTAGATATAATTCCTCTAAGATTCTCTCTTTCTTGTGTGGGTAGCGTGTTGATAAAAAAAACCATGGCCGCTTCACTGTTAGAGTCGCCATTTTTATCGAACCGCCAACTCTTCTCCACCACCCACCACTCTTTTCAACCTCAAAAGCCAATACCCATGTACTATTGTGTTCCTTTTTCTCGCTCTTCTTCCGCCTGTCCCCTCCGCCTCTGTGCCGTTGGTGAAAATGTGGACTCGCTAGCACTACCACCTCTGGCGAAGGTGGTGGCGGAGGATAGTGTTCAAGATAACAGGGTTTCGCTTGAAAGGAGTAAGGACCGCCGCAAAGTGGTGAAACTAGCATGGGAGAAGCTGGTTCGGTGGTCACGGTATTGGCGCTCCAAGGCCAAGACTGACGTTCTTGAACGCACTAAAAAGGTGGCAAATTTTTCTTTTTAATTGACATTCAATGATGTTGAAATCAGATTTCTATAACTATTTACCAATATTGTTTTTAATGTTCTTGGAGGAATTCTTTATCTAGCAAGGGGAATATAGTTTAAGAAAAGCTCTAACTTCATGAGTCAACAATTGAATTCTAATGTAGTAATCCATCTTTACCGTGTGACACATGTATACTTTAAGGAACTGGGTCAAGTTGACCCTAAACTCAACCCTGTTATGTTAACTCAATAGGGTTGTGCCAAAAGAAAACTTGATACCTAAGAGAAAAACTTTAAAAATAGATGGAGAAATCATTACAACTTGATTGATGTTGGAAAACCTAAGTAATATAGAACTCTGATGGAGGAAATACTTTTAATGATCATTGAGATCATATGCTTGGCAAGGCTTTTTTTAGGGAAAAAAAAATCGCCTTTTTTCTTTTACATGCTTTGGTTTTCTTTCCCAAATTAAAGAAGGTTTGTATTTTGTTTTTCAATTTTTTTATTTCATTTCTTTCCATGTATACTTGATGGATTGTTATTTTAGGTATCATTTAGATAGCAATTTGTCAATTTGGAATTATTTCCTTCCTATTCAGGAATGTAGATGGGAAGAAGCATAAAAGAACTTAAGAAAGGAACAGAAAAAAACTAAAACTTGCACATCTTTCATTTACATATATAGGATAAGAAACCACTCTTGTTACTTGCTTCTTTATTTTTTTATTTTTATTTTTTCAATTAAGCGCCACCACTGGGTTGAAAGAAGACATTGCAATTCTGATTTAAGATTATCCGGCAGAAGGGTATATGAAGAAGAAAAATCATGGAGTAGATTTCTAAATCTAAACTTATTTTCTCTTTGAAGCTTATGATCTCAATAAGGAAGTTTAAGTACTTATACCATGACTTTGTGGCATATATTGTTTCTTTAGTGGTTCTCATTTGCATTACTGCAGTTGTTTCATTCATTGTGGTTTTAATACATCAGGCAGAGCTGCGTGAAGATACTGACCTCATTGGAATTTAAAATATTTTGCACTTAGGTGGTAGTTCTTGGAGGTGGATCTTTCGGAACTGCGATAGCTGCCCATGTTGCTCATAGAAAAGCTGAACTAGAAATAAATATGCTCGTACGAGATCCTGAAGTTTGTCGATCTATTAATGAGAGTCATTGTAATTGGTGAGAATCACTTTATTTAGACCTTTTTAATTTTTCACATTTTCTTAGTTGTGCTGGATACACAAGCGTGCATTCATGTTAAGCTGGTGATTCTTTTGCTCAACAGCTTTCTGCTTTATTAGTTGTTCCTGAAATTTCTTGTCTTCTATGGTTTCAGTAAGTATTTTCCAGAGCACAAGCTACCTGAAAACGTGATTGCGACAACAGATGCTAAAGCTGCTCTACTCTGTGCTGACTTTTGCTTCCATGCTGTGCCAGTGCAGGTCTTTTGACTTTCTGTCTTCTGGTAGTGCTTTATCTTGTAACTACAGTATGCCAGATATTTTTTTTTTTTCAAATGTAATATGCTTCCAGTTTTCCAGATGACTTGAAAATGTGTCCTGTCCTTTGCTGATCATTCATGTATTGATCCTATTTATACTCTTTGCTTTTTTGGTTGATGTAGTACTTCAAATTAAACAGACTTAACTTTCTTTACCAATTGTATGCTTTATTGCAGTTCAGTTCATCATTCCTTAAGGGCATTGCAGATTATGTTGATCCAGGCCTGCCTTTTATATCCCTGAGCAAAGGTCTAGAACTCAATACGTTAAGAATGATGTCTCAAATAATTCCCCGTGCACTGAAAAATTCTCGTCAGCCCTATGTTGTTCTATCTGGGCCTTCATTTGCTCTAGAGTTGATGAACAAATTGCCAACAGGTCACTTGACCATGTTCAGAATTTGATGCTTCTTAGATACTATGTTCTTGTGTTTTGTTTTTTAA